CTTGTCTCAAAAATAAAAGGGGGCCATTAACTGGAAACTCCCTCCTTTTCTGTATAATAAACTTGCAAATCTACTATACATATACTCATTCTGTTCTTTGTTTTTAATTTTGAGAAGTTGTCCCCCTTACTATCCCATCTTTTCAGGATGCTTAAGACTGTTATCCCTATAAACTCATGTGTGTTCAGTCTCCAATTCCTTATCTTAATCCTTTCCATTGACTTTTTATTTACATAAACTTACAATTTTAGTTTTATATTTACAGAAAAAATTACAAAAATTATATAGTTCTTATATATCACTTATCCAGTTACCATATTACTAACATTTTATATTACTTTAATACATTTGTCACAACTAAGGAACCAACATTGGTACATTACTAGTAACAAAACTCCATAGTTTATTCAGATTTTACTAATTTTTTGTCAGTGTTCTTTTTCTGTCCCAGTACCCTGTCCAGGATACCACATTACATTTAGTGATCATATGTCATGTTAAAAATATTGGCTATTGGATTGGTGAAGTGCTGTTTAGTAGTACTTTATGATTGATAAGAAATAAAATATTCTCAGCATATTTAGTTAAATATTAGAATAGTGGGAAAGCCTATATGTAGATAGTCAGGATTCATCAGCGCTTCATTGCCCTTACGATAATGGTATATACCTAGTGGAAGTTTTGTGAGACTGAGTGCAGCTTCAATTAGAATGAAGGTCATCCATATATAAAAATTTGTCTTATTGTATTAAAATCATAGGTTTCTACATTTTAAGAGCATATTCCTTCCTAAACAATGAATGTTTGGATTCTTCATTCCTGGTTTTACCAATGTAGACCATATAGACCTTTCTTATTTCTCAGAGCAGGTGAGAAAATACAGTCAAGTCCTTACATTTGTCAGCAATTAGAAAGATAAGATGGAATGTGGAAGTGAGGTTCAAAGTCCCACAGAATTTACCTTTAGCATATTATGTACAGGTATACAGGATTAAGGTGGTATTGTGGTGGTGATAACAGCAATTTTTGTAAGACAAATTGACTCAGTAGAATAGAGATTCTCAATCTCTCCCCCTGCCCACCAAGTCTAAGGGATAAAACACATTTCTGTCATTAACAGTAACTGGGTAATTCCCACAGGGAGGGAAATGAATGTTTGAAAAAGCCTCCCTCTTCCCCTGCTGTTTCTTTTTTTGTTGTTGAGATGGAGTCTTGCTCTATTGCCAGGCTGGAGTGCAGTAGCACGATCTTGGCTCACCACAATCTCCGCCTCCCAGGTTCAAGCGATTCTCCTGCCTCAGCCTCCCGAGTAGCTGAGATTACAGGCGTGCACCACTACACCCAGCTAATTTTTGTATTTTTAGTAAAGACAGGGTTTCACCATGCTGACCAGGATGGTCTTGATCTCCTGACCTCGTGATCCACCTGCCTCAGCCTCCCAAAGTGCTGGGATTACAGGCATGAGCCACTGTGCCCGGCCCTGTTTCTTATATATTAATACATACTCACTCTTAAAATGTCATCTGTATATCCTCTGTACATAGAGAAGCTTCCCCCTTTATCTCTGGTTTCATTTTCCACAATTTCAGTTACCTGAGGTCAAGCACAGTCTGAAGATAGGTGAATATAATGCAATAAGATTACTTTGAGAGTGAGAGATAGAGACAGCATTCACGTAACTTTTATTACAGTGTATTCTTATAGTTATTTTATTGATCTCTTACTCTGCAAAATTTATAAATTAAACTTTATCTTAGGAATGTATTGATATGTATAGGGGAAAACCTAGTACATACAGGTTTCAGTGCTATCTGCTGTTTCAGGCATCCACTGGTGGTCTTAGAAGTATCCCCTGTGGATAAGGGGGACCTTCTGTACTTCATTTGTTTCGGTGCTCAGTTAGAACAGCATCTCCAGCATGTGATAGAGTACTTACGTTGCTAGATCCAAAGTAAACAAAAAATTTTCCATAAGGCTTGGTATTGCTTACAAGTTACACTGAATTCTAGGAATACTATTATAAATTATAATTTAATTTATATATATATATTTTTAGAATTTTCATATGCTTATGCTCTAAGAGTCATCTAAATAGGAGTTTGCTTGGGGCTGCCAAAAAGTGAAGTATTTTCTTGGAACAGTGAAATATCAGAAAAAATTCTCTTTATTTGTTTGGAAAGCAGGATTAAGGGGGCTTTTATATTACATGAAAATATAAGCTTTGAGCAGTGGTAGTGTCATACCCAAGGTTTATCCAAGGCGCAGTTATTGCTAATTGAAAATTTTTCCAAAATACCCCGCCATGACAACTTGCAATATAGTTGGCACTGGCAATTTTTGAGTTTCTACAGAGACTGAAACAACAACATATACATTATAAAGTTTATTGTGCTATTTCTTTAGCTATTATTTCTTTTTCTATTAAACTTTTAAAATATTCTAAAATAATCTAGGATGGAACTCAGTCTAGATTGTGAACTCATGAAAGTGGGAATCATATCTATCTGTCTTCTCTAGCACCTAACATTGTGCTGGGTAAATGTTGAATAAATGAGCTTTGTCCTCTGTCCTCTGAATAATTTCTGTAGGAGAGCACGTCAACAAGCTAGTCATTATATCTATTGTTAATCTTGTCGTGTTCAGCAACTAAAAATGCAAGCAAAATTTTCTAAAAATTTTATTTAAAGATTCAGTAAGTACTATTTTGATGTAATCATTAAATCGTAAGTTGGAAATTTCTAAAATGGGGGCTACGCTTTTACTTTTTGAATTAGGATCTGACAGACAATTCACTAGTGTAATTGTGCCTTTGTCTGAATTCTCTGCCTGCCTGCCTGCCTGCCTGCATGGGTGGAATTCAGTAGTGTTGTTTATTTTCTAGACTGATTATTCAAATTTAAACCTAACCTCATACATTTTTGTCTTTGCAGTCTAATTTGTAGTCCATTTACATAGTCTTTAAAGCAAACCTCGACATTTTGTCATAGTAACCATTGGACCCTAGTGTGTTTGATGTTTTAAGAACATAGTAGTGTTCATTCATTCCAGATAAAAGGATTAATAAGAAAATTTCTCTACTCCTGAGAAGAAAAAATGCCTAGCTTACAGTCTTATTTCCTGTGTGCTTCTCATTGTTGTAATGACATTTTAAATATTTTTTTCAGGAATATTCATTCTTTTGTTCATACTAGTTTGCATTTATTCTCAATATAGTGTTTTTCCCCCCATAAAATATGACACAAAACCTAAAATTCATGGCAAAAATGCGATAGTTCCATATTCATGAATTTATAAATTCCAGAGATAAGTATCAGAATAAAGATACTTTATTAGTTTCTGTGATCTTGGCAATTAGCTTTTTTTATAAAGTAAAGTGTTTAAGATCATATATAAATAGGCTATATAAAACATATGTGAATTAAAATATTATTCAGAATCAGACTGTCATGTACCAGATAGTGGGCTATTTGCCATGTTTTTCATACTGATTTTAAAAACTTCACTTGTATTTTAAAAATGTTATCTATTGTAGCTTTACTTCTTTATTTTGCATAGTTATTGATACCAGAAAGCAAAGGACTTAATACTGAGTCATGTACAATACATGGATGAATAGTGTATGATGGTTGTAAAACTTCATTTTTAATTTAATGTTTTATGAAAAATGTCATATATAGGAAAATGTCATAAAGAGTACAAAAATAATTTTTCATTCATTCAATAATACCTGTAACCGAAGTTTTAATTAGTTTACTAAAATTGAGTTAAGTACTATTGGATGTGTAATTTTCCACATGGCTTTTAATATGATATATATCATTGTAACAAAAAGATAAAAACAGTTCTTTTGAGGGGCCTCTGCTACTTTATTTTCTCATTCTGTTTTACTTTTTTAAATATTTCTGCTCTCTCAGTCCCTAGTTTTCAATCTATCAAAAATTTTTTTTCCTAAATGTTGTTACAGTTTTTTCTTTTTCATTTTAAATATTGGGTCTGTATTACATATTTAGGTATATTTCATCTGCCCTATTTATCATCTCCATACACAATAGGCAAGCTCAAGGTTTTTGAGAACTCACTTTTAAAGCATTTTCTCTTGTTGTGGGTTGTTTTTTTTGTTTTTGTTTTTGGCGAGAGGGTGTAGCCAGAATTAGACTTACATTGCTGCTTCTATGTTTGCCATTTCCTGATCCGTAGTAGAGCATGATTTTCAGTTGTCTTTTTCATTATATTTTGATTGGAAAGCCTGAAACAAATAGTATTTTATTGTTTGCACGGCTTCCTTGGGAATTAAGATTGGTGAGGGAAAATATATAGGAAAAATATTTATTTTGCAATTTTGTTAAAAAGAAAATCCCAAGTAGTTATCCTTGATAAGATTCTTTAGTATCTTAAAATGCCTGTGGTATCTTAGAATAAAATAAAATATTTTTCATGACAGAGTGTTAACTACGTATATAAAAGTTGGGTTGACAATTTTGATTGTGAACTTTGATATTTTTGAACCTTTGAATATTCCAACATTGGGTTTATTTTAAAACTTGATAGATATTCAACCATTTGATTATAATCAGATTTTTCTATTCTTAGTCACTCTTTAGAGTGGAAAAGTTTCAAAAGTTGAGGAAGAGATGAATTGAAACTTTAAGAATAAATACTAGGCCAGGCGCGGTAGCTCACACCTGTAATCCCAGCACTTTGGGAGGCCAAGGCAGGCAGATCACTTGAGGTCAGGAGTTCGAGAACAGCCTGGCCAACATTTTGAAACCCTGTCTCTGCTAAAAATACAAAAATTAGCTGGGCGAGGTGGTGCGCGTCTGTAATCCCAGCTGCTCCGGAGGCTGAGGCAGGAGAATCACTCAAACCCAGGAGGTGGAGGTTGCAATGAGCCAAGATTGTACCACCGCACTCCAGCCTGGGCGACAGAGTGAGACGACGCTGTCTCAAAAAAAAAAAAAAAAAAAGAATAAATACAAAATTTATCATTGTTTACTTTTCAGTCAGAAATCGGCTTTGGAAAAATGGAAACCTACATCAAATTGGAAAAGCTTGGAGAGGTAAGTAAATATTTATTTCAAAAATGTAAGACACATTTTTTTCTTATTCTTCATTCTCTGTTACTCCACAGTTTTTGTTAACCTGGAAAAAATATAAATACTGATGTCTACAAGATTATATACTTGTTCTGGAAAGGTAACAGAGTTTCTAGGAGTTAAGAGTCTTCAGTTCTTGAAATTATCCCATCAGTTTGAGAGGAAATGGATTTTTTTTATAGCTTTGAATTTTTTTTTTTTTTTTTTTTTTTTTTTTGAGACGGAGTCTCGCTCTGCCGCCCAGGCTGGAGTGCAGTGGCCGGATCTCAGCTCACTGCAAGCTCCGCCTCCCGGGTTCACGCCATTCTCCTGCCTCAGCCTCCCGAGTAGTTGGGACTACAGGCGCCCGCCACCGCGCCCGGCTAGTTTTTTGTATTTTTTAGTAGAGACGGGGTTTCACCGTGTTAGCCAGGATGGTCTCGATCTCCTGACCTCGATTGCAGTAGAAGTATTATGTTTTCTTGATAACAAAGTAGGCATTTGTCACTTAGTCCACTGGCATTCTACTGTCTGTGCCATTATGGGAAATTGCATGAGTTCAGACCTGTGAAAAATCAGAATAAAGATAAAAACACATTTTTTGAAAGTTAAGGAAGTTCTTAAGATCTTGGTTTTCTTGGACTTGCTACTGGTACTACTGATTTAGAAGTGGCCTACCTCCTGTAGTAAGAAAGGGCAAAGAAAATAATAGGGAAGCCTTAAAGGAGCTTGAGGGCTGTCCTGGCAATGATAGAAGAGATCCTTGTTTTTTAAAGGAGAGTTAATGTACGAAGATTCTGAAAAGTCTAGAAACATGGGTAGAATTTTTATGATTGCCGGGCGCGGTGGCTCATGCCTGTAATCCCAGCATTTTGGGAGGCCAAGGCGGGTGGATCACGAGGTCAGGAGTTTGAGACCAGCCTAGCCAACATTGTGAAAGCCCGTCTGTACTGAAAATACAAAAAATAGCCGGGCGTGGTGGCGGGCGCCTGTAATCCCAGCTACTCGGGAGGCTGAGTCAGGAGAATCGCTTGAAACCGGAAGATGGAGGTTGAAGCAAGCTGAGATCGTGCCACTTGCACTGTAGCCTGGGCGAAAGAATGAAACTCCATCTCAAAAAAAAAAAAATTGTGATTTAACAATATGTATATTACGTTTTCATTTTTCATTTAATATGTTCAATTAGTGTCCATCAGTCTCCATATACCATTGCAGGTAAAGCACCTTTGATTTTAAAGCTGTTGATCTAATTGTTAATCTGAAATAAAGTACAAAAAGTAAATATTCTGTCTATGTTTTTATACTCTTGAGGCACTCTGTAGTGTTTACAGAAGTATGGAAACTGTGCATATGAACTGAAAGTCCTGTTTGCAGTAAGAAAAGCCAAGGCCGATCATTGTGTGTTTTTCTTTGCAAGATGGAATTTAACAATGCTTAGAAATTAGAAATTCAGGTAGAGCTCTTTATTATAAGATGGTATTAAATAGACTCTTATGATACTTTTGATGTGTCCTTTAAAAATATATTTTATAGGGTACATATGCAACAGTGTATAAAGGAAGAAGTAAATTGACAGAGAATTTGGTGGCATTAAAAGAGATCCGATTGGAACATGAAGAAGGTGCACCCTGCACAGCTATAAGAGAAGGTATAATAATTATACAGAACATTTTAAAATCAGAGTGGTGGAATAAGAGTTTATTTTTTATAAGTAAAAAGAGCTCAGATATACAAGTAATAAATGACTGGAAGATATAATTAAACCTTTAAAAAGCTAATTTCTAAAGCTGATATTCACAAGAAAGGAATTATATTAGTGTATAACTTATAATGAAATCTGAATTCATTAAAAATCACTATCATAGACAACTATGTGTCACAGGGAAATGTTATACATTGGTACATGGGGAACATGGTAACTATAAATTAGCCAGATAAACTAAATAAATTAAAAAACAGTATGTAAACATTTATATCATAGTACCATTTTATAAAGAAAATATTATTCAGAAAATGGCTTGAGGCAACCGATTAGTAATGTGGAGGGGAAAAATGGTTCCATGTACTTTATATCTAAATTAATCCCAGAAGTTTCAAAAGTTAACATTTAAGAAAAATACAGAAGGTGATATGAGAATATTATAATATTGGGAACAATTTTAAGTATTATAATATCAAACCCGGTAGTATAAAAGAAAAGAAAAAACTGATTTCCATGAAAATTTTTACAACCAATCCCCTTGGTAAATTATTGTTTTAAACTTAAGAGAATCTTTTTTTTTTTTTTTAAATAGCACTGTTTTCCAGGCTGGTCTTGAACTCCTGGGCTCAAGTGATCCGCCTGCCTCAGCCTCTCAAAAGTGCTGGGATTATAGGTGTGAGCCACCGCCCAAGACCTGAACTTAAGAGAATCTTTTAATCAGTTCATATGTTCAACTTACTTCAGGTTTTTATAAAGACTACCACAGACTAAACAATTGTCTTTCTTTTTCTGTTTTGCAGTTTCACTATTAAAGGATTTAAAACATGCAAATATAGTAACCTTACATGACATTGTTCACACAGATAAATCTTTGACTTTGGTGTTTGAGTATCTGGTAAGCATCTCATAAAAATTCAGTATTTAACTTTGCTTTAGAAAAACATAGTAAACTGGACTTTTAGTTTGTTTTTTATTTTTCTTTAAACTGCAACTGTGCTTAGATAAATTGGACTTTTTAACAGCCCAAGGAACTTTATTGTTTAGTTATCAGTTTTTAATTAAATTAAATTATGTGTATGGTGCATCCAATATCTTTTCTTGAAAAACGACATATTTTGAAAAACACTATTAAGTGAACCAGTCACAACATTCTGAAAACTGTGTATCACATAGCAGAGTACTGTGTTTTTCCAGGATAAAGACCTGAAACAGTACATGGATGACTGTGGAAACATCATGAGTATGCACAACGTAAAGGTATGTTTTCGTATGTAATTTTTAAATTTTGTTTAAAGCATAGGTGAACCATTATATAATGAAATGTACCAGCCTCATAACTCTTTTTCAGGGTTTTCTGTTTGGCCTTTATAGGTTATTGTCCTCTGAACATGCAATATTTACCCAGAACTTCTGTTGACTATACTATAGCTTTCTTAGGATCAGACCTTTTTGTAGAACCACTTTATTCTTTTGACATTTCACATTATAACTGATTGTCCTAATATAGAATATATGTATAGGTATATTCTGCTTTAAAAAAAAAATTCAAAATAAATACAAATGATGGGTGCATTCTGTGAAAGGCCTTCTTTAAATAGTGAACTCCCCAAATAAATGGTATTTAATTATAAAACAACAACTTTTCAGGACTAATGAATAAGGCCAGAACATGCAGGTTTTGTGGACCCTATGCTGGAAATACCAATCTGTACTGTTAGGAAGCGGAGTAAGATAATTGGTATGTTTTCTTACTACAACATATTTAAAAATTTAATGCTAAAAAAGTTTGCCATAAAATCAGTGCCAGATGACACCCAAAAGTTATCAACTGAGTAACAGCATCAGGCATAGTTTGTATTCTTATAGTAGGTTTCTTTGACCTGAGTGGTGTATCCAAATTTAGCAAAGATTTATTTATCCAAACTTAGTCAACAATATGTAAGAACCTATTCTGAAAATAGGCTGTCACAGCTGTGCACTTCAGACATTTCTAATTCTGTAGGTAGTAATTTTAAACTTACATTTAAAAAAATATTAAGTTTGGTGGTTATAAGAGAGAGCCAGTTTCTGTTACTAAAAGACAGCTCAGAACATATGGATAACACATTGCTAAGGATTTTTTAAAAGGGCTTTAAATGTACTTCCATATATATTCTGTCAGGGTTGTTTTCATCATATTTTACATTTTTTGTTTGCAAAGTGTTATAACTGCCATTTTGTATCTTTTTTTGGTTTTAATTTTGTTTTTCCTGCTTTTTATTAGCAATAATTTGAAAATAAAACAAGGTCCTTCATGATGTTAATTTCACAAATGTTGAGACGTTTATTTCTTTAATGCCAGGTTTACATGATTAGCTTAAGTTGGAAAGCATTTATTATTTATTTGTTTAAATGGCCTTTATACTTGCAAAATACAAAGTGTAACAGGAATTCATTTATAGTAATTTTAGAGTTTTAAAAACATAATTATGTAGACTGCAGAGACTTTGGCACAGAGAATTCATTCAGGCATACCATTGACCTGCTGCCTTGGCTGCCTCAGTGTTCTGATGCTCTATTTTTCACCTACAAATGAACTGAGGGGAAACTCTTGAATCCTCTGTACTTGAGGTTCTTTTTGTTAACCCCAGAGAATCAAAGGTCTTATGTGTTCCAGAAGCCTCTTTCTACCAAAATCTACAACTAAAACCCTACCATTAGCCTTATAGGAATTGCTTTTTTCAGAGTCGTTCAGAACACTATAGGGCTAATGCCCCTTTGTGAATCACAGTAGATTTTGAAGGCTGAGTAGGACGTGCTGAAAGTAAAGTACCCAAGAGGTGGGTGATAGAAGCTGGTTTAGGTTATTTTTATAGTAATTTGCCAGAGCTGTGCAGCAGCATTATCTTTGATACCTCAGACTTTTCATAAAATCACCAACTCCAGTGCCTTATTTTAAAGACACTGCCCCAGATCAGAGTTTTTCTTTTTGTTTTTTTAAGGAGTGTTGAGTGGGAGGGGGATTGGTTGGTTGTTTTGCCAGAATTTTATAATTAAACTATGTAAACCTTAGTAGGCCTGTAAGTTTATAAGGATATGTTTTTTAAGTCATTTTCCACAGTAAATCAACTGTTACTGCTAGGAGGAAGTTTCATTTTAAAAAATATTTCCATAGATACTGTTAGACTAAAAGAAGTGGGTGCTTCAAATAGAATAATAAACTATTAAATTCAGAAAGCCACTATAAAAGGAAATAGACATGGTACTTACGGATGCAATTACTTTCTTTTTCCTGTTACAATGTTCTAGGCCAGTTGCTTTTCTGCTTACTATCATTTATGCTTATACTAAAGCATGTCTCATCTGTAAGACTAATTTTTATTTATTTGTTTCTATAGCTGTTTCTGTACCAAATTCTACGTGGTTTGGCATATTGCCATAGAAGAAAGGTATTGCATCGAGACTTGAAACCACAGAACCTCCTCATTAATGAAAAAGGAGAATTAAAGCTAGCAGATTTTGGTATGGAATGTATGAGATATCTATTAGTACTTCCAGGTTCTTAAATTTAAAAGATCAACCACTGTCATAATATGCCATTGCTTTTATGTGGGTTTGGAAATTGTCTTGGTAGCCCACAGAATAAGATATTTGACAGAACTTCAGTGGGTGATTTATGTTGGTTATTAGCAGTAAATTGTAAAAGGCACAGGCTGTTCTCAGGTGTGGACATAGACCCCTAGGGCTCCTGAGACCCTTGTAGGAGGCCTCTAAATGTAAATATATTACCAAAATTGTACCATCTGTTATGCCTTTTTCACTGTGTTAATACTTGCAATGATGATCCCAAAGTAATAACGCATAAAACTATATATCAAAGTAGTGGCACCAAAATAAATCATTGTATTCTTTTTGTTTGTTTGTTTGTTTGAGAGATGGAGTTTTGCTCTTGAAGCCCAGGCTGGAGTACAATGGTGTGATCTTGGCTCACTGCAACCTCCGCCTCCTGGGTTCAAGTGACTCTCCTGCCTCAGCCTCCCAGGTAGCTGGGATTACAGGCATGCGCCACCATGCCTTGCTAATTTTGTATATTTAGTGTGACCACCATGTTGGTCAGGCTGGTCTCAAACTCCTGACCTCAGGTGGTCCACCCACCTCGGCCTCCCAAAGTGCTGGGATTACAGGCGTGAGCCACCGGGCCCAGGCCATCATTGTATTCTTTACCACTACATTTACGTAAAGGGAAAACTGTCAGTTACACTTAAAAAGGTACATGATGAAGCAATAAAATTTATTAATTGTATTTAATTTCCATCCTTGACATTTCTTTTTAATATTTTATGTGATAAAATGGGAAGTGTACATAAAACACATTTGCTGCACACAGAAATAATGTGGTTGCCTCTCAAGGAAGAGTACTCGTGATTATTTGAGTGCAAATTGAACTAGCCCCGTTATTTGAAGGGACACCGTTTTTACTTAATGACTGACAAACTATGGTTATTCAGACTTAGGTATTTGGCAGACATTTTCCTGAAAATGAATGAAGGAAGCCTATCATTTCAAGGACAAGAACTCACAATATTTCTTGCCAATAATAAAATTCAAGTTTTCAAGCAAAAATTAGAGTTTGGAAATTGGGATCTGCTTTGAGTTTGATGGCTTTTTAGTACTCAGAGACTTTTCTGATGAGATCGATGTTGATGTTAACACGATTTTTCGATGTGCTGAAAAAGTGTATAAACATTTGGAATGTATAACTCAGGGAACCAGTGTTTTCCAAATGGCCAATGCATGACATTACAGAATCATGCATGGATAAAAGACCCATTTAAAGTACAAGATAGATCAATGAATTTTAGTGCAACAAAAGTATGAGAGGTTCATCGTTATAATTTCTGTTACCACAAAGCTTTAAAGAGACCACTTACTTTGTAGTTCTGATGTAATGTCAAAGAAAACTATTCATGTTTATCAGAAAAGGCTATTAAAATGCCCCTCCTCTTTCCAGCCTCATATCCGTGTGAGATCTGATTTCCTTCCTATATGTATGTATGTTGTGATATGTATATTTCATCTACTGTGATACATGTTGTGATATGTATCAAAGTAACATCACAACACATCGAATGCAAAAACAGATGTGGAATCCAGTTGTCTTCTATTAAAATCAACTTTAGGCCAGACATAGTGGCTTAGGGGTGTAATCCCAGCACTTAAGAGGCTGAGGTGGGAGGATCACTTGAAGCCGGGAGTTTTAAGACCAGCTTGGGCAACATAGCAGGACCCCATCTCTACACCAAAAACAAGATTTCAAAGAGATTTACAAGAAGGCCATTCTTCTTACTAAGTTTTGTTTTTATATAAAAAAAGTTTTCCATAAAAATGTCATTCATGCTATATATAATGGGAGGTGTTTTTAAAGAGAAAATATTTTAAAATTTGGTGTTTTACTTTCTAATGTGGCAAATATCAGTAAATATATCCACAAAAATAAAAGCTCTTTAGGTCTTTGATAATTTTCAGGAGTAGAAAATGGGTCTTGAGAGCAATGAGTTTAGAAGCAACTACTGAAAGGAGTTCCCTTAATATACCTGCCACCATTACTCTGTATTATATGCTTAATAACTTAATTGCAGCTATTTATCTATATCTTTTTAGCTAACCTGGTTTTAAGGGAATTGAAAGTAAAATTAAATGCTCTTTTTGCTTCTAGAAAGTAAACTTTTTCGTATCGAAGGAACTCTGTAGAGTAGCTTTGAATTTTTTGTATTCCACATTCTGAGAGTTTGAATACTCTTAGAGAACTTACTTTTTAAAAACCCATGCAGTTTTCCATAACTAGAATTTATAGTTCTTTTTCATAAATGATTATGGTAGTTTTTTGTTTGTTTGTTTTAAGACAGGGTCTTGCTCTGTCACCCTGGCTGGAGTGTGGTGGTGCAATCTCAGCTCACTACAACCTCCGCCTTCTGGGTTCAAGCGATTCTGGTGCCTCAGCCCCCAAATAGCTGGGATTACAGGGGTGCCACCACACCCAGATAAATTTTGTATTTTTAGTAGAGATGGGGTTTCACCGTGTTGTTCAGGCTGGTCTCAAACTCCTGGCCTCAAGCAATCTGCCTGCCTTGGCCTCCCAAAATGCTGGGATTACAGATGTGAGCCATCACACCTGGCTTTGATTATGCTAGTTTTATGTTTGGAGTATTTCGTTAAATTTGATAAATACAAGTGTTTCAAGTATTACTCTTCACTGTTATTAAATGGTGAATTTGTTCTGGAAATGCCTATACTTTTGCTCATTTAATACTTTGCCATTTGAAGGGTAAATTACTTTTTGCATTTCCTTCTTTAAAAAGGAAATGTGTGGGTCACCTGTGTTTGAATAACAATTATAAGCTATTTACATATGCTTTCATAGATTATAAAGTCTCTTCTTGGGCATAGTTTGTGTTGTTATTTCCCTTATAATAATTGTTACTCTGTCTCTTTTTTCTTTCTCCTTCCCTCAGCCACCATTTCCTTTTCACCCTTTTTCCTTCTTCTCTGTCTTAGCTACTCTGCATTTAATGCTCTTTAGTCCCAATCCCAAAATGAATGTCAGTGAAGAGAGATACTTTCATGAGGCCAAGGCAGGTGGATCACATGAGGTCAGGAGTTCAATACCAGCCTGACCAACATGGTAAAACGCTGTCTCTACTCAAAATAGAAAAATTAGCTGGGCATTGTGGTGGGCACCTGTAATCCCAGCTCTTTGGGAGGCTGAGGCAGGAGAATTGCTTGAACCCGGGAGGCAGAGGTTGCAGTGAACCAAGATCATGCCACTGCATGACAGAGCGAGACTCATCTCAAAAAAAAAAAAAAAAAAAAAAAATGCAAAAGGAATGTCAAGGACTATAAAAAAATCTACCTTTGGCTGGGTCCGGTTGCTGACACTGGTAATCCCAGCACTTTGGAAGGCCCAGCAGGCAAATTGCTTGAGCTCAGGAGTTCAAAACCAGTCTGGGCAATATAGCAAATACCTGCCTCTACAAAAAATTTAAAAATTAGCCAGGTGTGGTTGTGTGCACCTCTAGTCGCAGCCACTCGGGAGGCTGAGATAGGAGGATCAGTTGTGCCTGGGAGGTTGAGGCTTCAGTGAGTCATGATCAAGCCACTTCATTCTAGCCTGGGTGATAGAGCAAGACCGTGTCTCCACGAAGAAGAAGAAGAAAAAAACTACTTTTTTCAGGGAATACTCTTGAGTGCTTTAAATTTTGCTTCTAACCTCTACAAAGCAAGCTAGGCAAATTTTACCTACAGGGCAACAAGAAATTCTGATTATTCCATGAGATAGTATATTCAACTCTGTCTCTGTTTCTTCCTTTTTTTGGTTGCATAGTAAATATGACTTCATGTGAAGGAGGGTCACATAACTTTGAATATTTATCCTATAAGGTGTTCTCTGTCCCTCTGAAAATTCTACCCTTTTCCCATGATCAGTGAAAATCAGAAGTCTTGGAACTAGTGATATAGATATTTTCACTAATGATAGAAAATGGCTTATATAATAATACCATATCACATTTAATTATTTTGGTTTAGGAGAGATTGTTTCATTTCATTCCAACCAATATTGAAATTCTAATTGTGAACTAGAAGCCCATGTAGACAAACACTGTAGTTCAGAATCCTCTCAGGAGTGGGAGAGTAGGATACAGAGGAAACTATAACTGGTAATTTGCCTTGATATGGTATGTTGCGGGATAAGCACATTAGCAACCCTGTCCTTTGCCTTCCTATAACCCACTTTTAATATCAAGAAGAGAGATCAGAAACCTACCTCCATCTTGTTAATTAATTACCAAAATCAGTATGAAAATAATTTGTCGGTCGGACTTACTTCACCAAGTTGAGATGCTAGAGTAAAACTTGTAATTAAATGAAATAATGTCAACATTGTTCCAGTTATACCGTTTCCCCATTATACTGAACTAAAATACTATATGAGTCCTGCCTCATTAAATTTCTGACATTGTTTATGTGACCTTATTCAGTAAAATAAAATACTGAGTTATTTTGTGACATTTTTATTTAATATTTTAATCAGATATACAAAGTTATATATAACAGCAATCTCAGCCTAAAAAATTCTTCCTTGTTTTGGCCAAATAAATTAATAATTTTCCAGATATTTTTCAAAGTTGCTTCTTCAGATCGTAATTTAGAGGCTTAGAGATAGTAACAACTCTCTCACACTAGTAACTCGAGATAAAGTTGTAAACTCTAGCCTTTATTTCTGGATTATCAATGGATTCCATATTAAATTAGCAAAGGAATGGCAAATGTTTTATATCACTTACAGCAGGCTTGTCTGACCCATAGCCCATAGGCTGCATGTGGCCCAGGATGGCTTTGAATGCAGCCCAACACAAATTCGTAAACTTTCTTAAAACATGAGATTTTTTTTCGATTTTTTTTTTTTTTTTTAAGGTCACAGCTGTTGTTAGTGTATTTTACGTGTGGCTTAAGACAGTTCCTCTTCCATTGTAGCCCAGGGAAGCTAAAATATTGGACACCCCTGACTTAAACAGCAATTAATAATATCCAAGGACAATGAAGTCTGTCTTACTCCAAAATCATCCATGTAACTTAAAACCTAAAAAGGGAGTACAGAACAGCATTGTAATTTTATTCCGAGGAAATTGTCTCTAAGTCGAGTTCTGCAAAGAAATTGCCAGTAAATCTCAGTGAGATTATGGATCAGTAACTTCACAGTTTTTGATAAAAAATGGTATAGCAAATGAAAGTTGGAATCAGGTTAAAAGGTGACAAAAGCTCATAGCTGTTAGAAGTAAAATTGTGTGTCTCAATGTCATTGGCTTATTTTTGATTAATTTAATTGCAGTTGAGAAATAATTTTGGCATCATGATTCATGGACAGAAGGAAAACATCTTAAGTTTAGATTCACCCAGAACACTTCACCAGGTGTATTCAAACATAAAAGCAAGCATAGTCTCTGGTTGTGGAATTCTTGTTTAGTTCACTACATAAGGATTTGCTGACTCAGGGCCACTTGCACTCAACAAATTCCTAAAGCTAATTGTGTTGAAGCCTCAAGAAGCTACGAATTAACCATCTCAGGCATCCCTTTGAATGGAGTCATGGTGAGAATAGGGTCTGAGAGATCCATTATAGCTTTTGCTTTAACCCTTTGTTTTATTTTCCCTATGAAGGACTAGCCCGAGCCAAGTCAGTTCCCACAAAGACCTACTCAAATGAAGTTGTCACACTATGGTACCGGCCACCTGATGTGCTTCTTGGTTCCTCGGAGTACTCAACACAGATTGACATGTGGTAAATATATACAGATGTCACTGACATTTATAATTTTGAAAGAATGTAACTGTTAATGCAGGGTGTATTGATAAGTATTTGACTTTTAAGGAGGTATGATTTTAAAGAGCCATAATATAAACAGTGATTAATGAGTTCTGGCATGGGAATTAGATTACCTAGGTTTAAATACCAGTTCTGCCATTTAGAACTATGTAATAACTTTATTCAAATTACTGGCCTTTGCCTCAGTTTCCTCATTTAAGGAAATGGGAATAGTAACAACTACTTTGAAGTGTTGTAGGAGATGTTAAGATTAAATGAACACTCAGAGGAGTGCTTTATGAGACACTCAAGAGTATCTGATACATAGTAATTTAAAACAAAATTATCATTTTATCATCATTTAATATTCACGAAAATGTTTCTGCTTTAACTTGAACTAAAGGTAAAAATTAAAATATTGTAGTTATCTTTTTCACACACCACTTCGATCCTGACACTCTTCTACTCAAACACCATTATTGCCACCTCCTTCATTACCTATGGAATAAGGTACAATTAATTCCTCAATCTGATACTTAAGGATTTCCATAAGATGTCTCTAAACTACCTTTTCCAACTTATTTCAGACTATTTCTCAACAGAAATGTTCCCTTTTAGCAACATGGCATACTGACTACATTTCAGGAATAACGTGGACTTTCCTACCTTTGCTCTTGGTGTTCATACCAGTCCACCCATCTGGAATGCCCACTCTGGTGCCCTAACTTGGGCTCATTCCTAGTAACGTTCAGAACACAGCTTTTCGTAAATCCTTTTCTGAATATACTCTAGCCTCTGGTGGCAGTTCCTTCCTCTGAACTGTGGTTGCATTTATTTTCTGTTCTTCATGTGGTAATAAGTCATATACCTATTTCTGTTGCTATCTTGAACAATTATATAAAATGTCTCATATAACTTTTTAAAATTAATTTTTAATATTGTAAAATAGTTATAAAATTTATCATTTTAACCAATTTAAGTGTATAGTTGAGACATTAAGTACGTTTATATTGTTGTGCAACTATCACCACTATTTCTCTACCTTCAGAATCCTTCCATCTTGCAAAACCAAAACTCTGTACCCATTTAACAATTTCTTCCTATCCTCCTCCCCCACCTCTGGTTTCTGGTAACCACTGTTCTATAATACTTTCTGTCTCCATGAATTTGACTGTTCTGAGTACCACTTACGAGTAGAATCATGCAGTATGTGTCCTTTTGTGACTGGCTTATTTCATCTGGCATAATGTCTTTAAGGTTCATTCACATGGTACCGTATGCTAGAATTTCCTTCCTTTTTAAGGCTAAAAATACTCCATTAAATATATATTCCACATTCTGTTACCCATTTATCCATTGATGGACATGTGGGTTGCTTCCACCTTTTGACTATTGTAAATAATGCTGTTGTGTACGTGGGTATACAAATACCTTTTCAAGACCTTGCTTTCAATTCCCTCTCTCTCTCTTTTTCTTTTTAAGAGACGTTGTCTCACCATGTTGTCCAGGCTGGTCTTAGACTCCTGGGCTCAAGCAGTCCTCCTGAATTGGCTGGATTTCCGTTCTTTTAGATATATATCTAGAAGTAGAATTGCTGGATCATATAGTAATTCTGTTTTTAATTTTTTGATGAACCACCATATTATTTTCCATAGCAACTATATCATTTTACTTTCTTACAATATGTAAAATTAACTTTTATATATAGCTGCTGGATTACAGGCCCTTTAATGGAAGGATTATGTCTTAAACTATGTATGTACATACAGTTCCTAGATGACTATTCTAGGAACCACCATTCTATTCTCTGAACCACCATCCATTTCTTTTCCTTCTCTTACACACACCACCTTGTACCAACATGTTCTACCTCTGCTTCCTGCATCAAAATGTCTTGAATCATTTGTTTCTCTCCATTTCTCCTGCCTAGCTTAGGTCAGTGTCATCTCCTAGGTTACCATAATATATCTTCAGTTGTTTTTCCCCCCGCCTGTCTTTGTTGTTCAATCCATGGTCTACACTATTGCTAATACAAGGATTCAGTGAGATAACTGATGCACTTAAAAAACATTTCTAACACATAGTAAATCTTCAGTCACTGTTGTTAGTGTTATTCTTCAAGGATTGTGCATTCAAGGAGAGTTGGACATTTTAAATGGGAAAAATAGATATAGCAATATAGAAATTGAGACAAATAGGGTAAATGTGAACAAATTAGTTAGATCTAAAATATCTCTTCAGGAGGTTTTCCAACAGGCTAGTGCAGAATTCTGCAGAGAGGCAATCTTAAGGAAAAGATTCTTGTGCTTCATAATATGTAAATGAATTGCTAAATTATTTTCATGATCTATTTTAAAGGGGTGTTGGTTGCATTTTCTTTGAAATGGCTTCTGGAAGACCTTTATTTCCAGGATCAACTGTGGAAGATGAACTACACTTAATTTTCCGACTGCTAGGTAACAGAAGAAATCTTTTCCCAGTGATTTTGCACCCACAATTGACTAGCTTGATAAGACTGTATCTCTAAAATACATATATTAAAATTTGATACTAAGACTAACATAAATAGCTGTTACTTAGAAGAATTAGAATGAACGCTATGAAGATAGATCCTTCTAGGTAACTTCATCTGCTAAGTTTTATCTTTGCAATAAAGATTCAGTGGAAAAACAATATAATTAGTATGGAAAATTGGATATCGGCATATTATTAAGGAATATTGCTAACTTTGGTGGTATCAACTGAATAGAAAAAGGGCCAGGCATCTGTTTTATAGTATCATTGCGAAGTCCAAGCAAAAAGTCCATGTACATTTATTTCTGTTATATCAATTGCAGCTGAAGTAGTTAAGTCATCTGGTAAATGTAAATTGTTCTCTAAGACACTTTGTTATATATGCGCATATATAGTTTTTATATATAAATTTTATATATATTTATAAATATATTTAATTTTTTTTTTTAATTCAGGAACTCCATCTCAGGAAACTTGGCCAGGTATTTCTTCAAATGAGGAGTTCAAGAACTACAACTTTCCAAAATATAAACCACAGCCTCTAATTAACCATGCACCCAGGTATTTTTTTTTTCCTATGTGAAAGGGGAAACTCACATGATTCTTTTCAGTCTTTTGAAGGATTAGCCACAGTAAGGATTCAGGAAAAAATACATAATACACATAATCCTTACATGTTTTAGGATCTTATATAATTTGGAACTGTATATGTATTAGAATTCTAGAGTTTATGTAGATAGTTCCTTTTCCCAGAAAGAAGATATTGATTAATGCCTTATTCTGTACCACAAAGATTATGATGAAATTCCTGTTTTGCTTTCTACAGAATTATTCTGTATTTACTTAACAAAAACCTAAGAAAGGTTATGTAAGTGAAATCTTGACTCTATAACACAAGGTAACCTATCAGTATTTTGATGAGTGTTAATGATGTAATTCATATTTGAAGAATATAAACTCTGTCCGATTCCTTAGCAAAATGTAACATCTAAATGTCAGCCATTCATTTAAGTTTCTTCTTAGACCTACCCCAAGATCAATCCAAGGCTCCCAATAAAATTTGAGTCAGAACATTTTTACTTGTAGAATGTATTACATTTTTAGGAGATAACATAGAATAACCCCTTTGACTGCATTTTCCATCTCCCCAGGCCCCCAACCCCCCCAAAATTTGAAAGTCACCAAGATACCAAATAAGGACATCATTTGTTTTAACCCAAAGCCATTCACATTGCTCACAACATAACATACTTGTTTTGCTTCCTTTTATTTTCAAGCTAGGGAAGGAAGAGCAAAATGGTTATGACACCAAAAATATTTTTAAAGTATTTATGTGAGTTGGTACTCTTATTGTTACTATAGCAACTAATACCATTCTAACTGGATTTTCTTAGGAAGAAGAATAATATGTGCTGGGCTTTTTTTTGCACGTCTCTCCCAAGTAGCACAAATTCTATTTTTGTCCTTTAATTATTGCTTGCTTTTGGTAATGTTCCATGTAGAAGGTTGAAGCTTTTCTTTGAAGCAGAGTCTCCATGACTGTAGTACCTAGTTTGTCTGTGCCCAGGGAACTCTGGATATGTGCTAGAATGGCAAACTACATAGAATGTCTAGACTGCAGCATCCACAGGACCCACTTGAGAGCACTTGGAAGAAAATGTTTCTTTACTCATTATTGTACTTTTACCAGTGAAAGGCAGTGTAAGATAGAACCTGTTATTTCTGATCAAGATAATCCCAGGCCGGGCTCAGTGGCTCACACCTGTAATCCTAGCACTTTGAGGGGGGCCGAGGCAGGCTGATCACCTGAGGTTGGGAGTTTGAGACCAGCCTGACCAACATGGAGGAACCCTGTCTCTACTAAAAATACAAAAAATTAGCCCAGTGTGGTGGTGCATGCCTGTAATCCCAGCTACTCGGGAGGCTGAGGCAGGAGAATCGCTTGAACCCAGGAGGCAGAGGTTGCAGTGAGCCAAGATTGCACCTTTGCATTCCAGCCTAGGCAACAAGAGCGAAACTCCATCTCAAAAAAAAAAAAAAAATAATAATCCTTTAACCCTACTACCCCTAGTTATACTAATTTCATCTTTATTATGTCATTAGTTTTATATCCCTTACTGATGAAGGTTTATAAAGTTATTGTAGCATATTTAAATTGAACTCAATACCTTCTAGTACCTCATGCTAAGCAGACAACTCTAAAAATTTGTTCCTGAATAGCTCATTTCTGTGTTTGTCTTGAACAACAGTGATACATTTTAAGGTCACTTGTCTCTGTGTTTTCACCTATGTAATAGGAAAGTGATGCTCTTATATACTTGCCTTTAGTGAAAGACTGTGAAAAGTGATACAATATTTAAGCTTTCTTAATACTATAAGTTACATTGTTTTGAGACAGCATGGTGATTTTTAAAATTCTTTAATTTGTTCTTGGATATTGAAAATTCAAATTGAAGCCAAGTTATTTATGACTTATCCTTAAACAAATAGCAAGGCCAGTCTTTTAAGACTAAAACAGATTTGAGCCTATTTGAAGGCAACAAGAGTGACTATTTTAGGGCATTTAAATTTAGCAGATTAAAACACTTAGAAAATAGTTTTATCTTAAAAGTTTTATCAGCTAAGAGAGAATAAATTTTTACTTGTTCTTTGTTGTTTCTAGGTTAGACTCTGAAGGAATTGAGTTGATAACAAAATTTCTTCAGGTAAGTCAGATCTTACAGTAATTGTTAAATAGGTAGTTAAGCCTCAGCTTCCTCATCTGTGGAATGGGATCAGTAGTACTTCCTCAGTATTGTTAATGACAAATAAAATTATCTATGCTTAAGGCACATGTTTAAGTAAAAAATCAAAATAATATGGTTTCTCCTAATGTGCCTGGGTCTCTTGTCACTTACAACAGTCTGAGGTAGTTGGTTATTGGCATTGATCAGCCGTGTCAAGGCCACATTCTCTGCAATTGATGCTCTCTTATGTTCTCTTTTCCTTATACCTACAGCCTTTGTAGGATGCTCTGCCTCCAATTACCATTCATATTTCCCTCCAAAGCAGGAATAAGAGGGGACGATAAGTCCCTTTATTACCAGCCACATTAGTCCTCTTGGAACTTGGAAGCAAAAGCTTTACAGAAACCCCTACAAGGTTTCCTTCCAAGTCTCATTGGCCAGAACATTAATTGTAGGAAAGACTGGGAATTGGGGAGCAGGATTGTCATAATTAGCCTAAATTTAGAAGAGTTATGATTCATGATTCATCTATCAGAGCTGATGGACACCTTGAAGAAACCTAGGTTGTATCATCAAAGAAAAAAGGGAAATGAGTATTGGATAGGTAATTAAGAATGGATGCCATAAAAATACTAGGTATGTGTCCACCAGTCCTTTGGTATTCATGAAGAGAAGTAACTACACAGGTCAAATATTTTTATTTTTCTTTGCTTCAGAAAGTACAAGGAATGTAAATTCTTATTTAAGATCCAGCCTTATGTTAGAAATGTGGAACTGAGATGATATTATGCAATCTCAGCGGTGACTCAAATTAGAGTATAACTGGAGTATTCCAAATTGTTGATTGAAAAATAGTCATCATATTAAATAATCAAAATTTTTAAAAATAGCTCTAAATGCTAATTTGCCCATCTCCTACTTTTTATAGTAATTAGAGAAAAAGCTAATGAAGCAGTTCTTTGCTTTTTCACAGTATGAATCTAAGAAAAGGGTTTCAGCAGAAGAAGCCATGAAACATGTGTACTTTCGAAGTCTGGGACCAAGAATACATGCTTTACCAGAAAGTAAGAGAAATCCTAAAGTGTTTTCCCCGCTTTATTTTTATTTGTCCGGGGTTAGGGACTGGGGTGATTGGGGAGATGGCTATTGATTTTTAAGCCTAAGATTTTAGTATTTTCTGTAGTTAGATTAGAATTTCTTGAAGGGAGGTATGTGTCTTATTTCCCTATGATTTAGTTATTACTTGTAACATTGAGCACATTGTCAGGAAACCAATGTAGGAAACCAAAAGTACTTAGGCAAAGATCATTAATCTTACTGGACTTTAGTTGGAACATGTCATCTGATGACAGGCATTGTCCCTAGGCCCAATCTAGCTTCAATTTAGAGTTGTTAAAAGTGAATTTCAAACAAAAACTAATGAAGCATAACCGAAACATTAATTGTTTTCTTGTGAAAATACAGTTTTTCTTGAGATGCAAAAATGATTTTCCTTTATTGTGGTCACTCTGATTTTACTGTCCGCATGACGGCGGTGAGCGTATTGTCAGAGTCACTGAAATAGCAGATTTCCCGTGCCTGAGTAACATTGATTTTACTCGTAACATTCTATTTTTAGATTACCACAGTATTTTACTTTAAAATAGAGTAAGGTGAGTGGAGAATTGGAAGAATGTTTCGGAACTAAGCTGCCAAAAGCTTTCGTTAATTTCCCATTCTCATTTATTAGACAATATTGATTCATCAAAGCTTGTGTAGCAGTCAGTGACAAAGCTAACTGGAATAAAAAATCCTTAATACTTTTCACTTCAACTTTACTGGATGTATTTAAATGAAAGAATACCTCTTTGACAGAGATTGGAAATGAAAGAGATAAATTACAAGTGTTCTTTTAAAGATATTTGTATTTCACCGGGCGCAGTGGCTCATCCCTGTAATCCCAGCACTTTGGGAGGCCGAGGCGGGCAGATCATGAGGTCGGGAGTTCGAGAGCAGGCTGACCAACATGGTGAAACCCTGTCTCTACTAAAAATACAAAAATTAGCTGGGCCTGGTGGCACGTGCCTGTAATCCCAGCTACTCAGGAGACTGAGGCAAGAGAACTGCTTGAACCTGGGAGGTGGAGGTTGCAGTGAGCCGAGATCATGCCACTGCACTCTAGCCTAGGCGACAGAGTGAGACTCCATCTCAAAAAGAAAAAGATATTTGTATTTCATTATTAATACCAAGTTTCACTTTGAGGTAGGCAATTATGGTTGCACAAACCTTTTCCTTGTTTTTCACTAAAATTCCGAAGATAGCTTGAAGGCCTGATACCTTCATGTCATTGTAAGGAGACAGAGAGAAAGGACAGAGAGAATTAACACCTAGTATAATAATATATTTTGACTGGATCTCCCAACCCCAGAAAGTCCTGGAACAAACAGTGTATATTCTCCTCAGAGAAACACTGCTCACAGCATGCTCTAACACAGAGTTGGGAGAAGAAAGGTTCTAAAGGTGGATTACTTCATTCATTTAGTTTTCTCCTCAGCACATTGGGATAAAAAGGAAAAATTTCAGCTGGGCTGTCACCTTGTAAAATGGTTTCATATTGAATCAGTATATGCTTTATAAACATTTGTTGATAGTTGGGTTGTGTTTGTTTTAATGTTAGACCTTCACCTAATAATTTTTGTCTATGCATTTTAGGTGTATCAATATTCAGTTTGAAAGAGATTCAGTTGCAAAAGGACCCGGGTTTTCGAAATTCTTCTTATCCAGAGACAGGTGTGTTTGTCATAAACCATTTCACGTGTCGATCATGAATTTTTGCGTGGAACCAAGCTTTTGGTTTATAAATTGATCAGTAAAATTATTGATGTAAAAACCAATGTACAGTGCATTCCACAACTGTTTATGTTTAGCATTGCACGTACTCACTTTTCTGTATGATGTGGGCAGCTCAGTAAATCTTCAGAGAAAAATCTGACTCAGTCAAGTCAGGGATCCTGAAAGCTGCAGATGGCACAAAGACCTTTTACAAGTGACCTGGCTTGATCACTGCACACGCCATCCCTGGTACCTGAGGCAGAAGACACATCTTGTGCTTCCCTAGTCATCAGGTTCATCACTTCGAAGCATAGAAGCTGTAGACTGACCCCATCAACAGAAGGGTCATTTAAGACAGTGCTGATCACTCTTACCATGGAATATTAGCTTTTGCTGGTGGGAACATTAGCTTCCTAGTCACCAAATAACTGTGTGTGGGATAAAACTGAACCTTGAACTGCCTCATAAAATGACTTTATATTTTAGGACATGGGAAGAACAGAAGACAGAGCATGCTCTTTTAAGTCTGATAACATGGTTTCAAGCCCAGCCCCCAGCCTTTCTTACCAATCAAGGACTCAGATCTGAAGGCAATTATTTCTTTTGGTGGACTTGGAATCTCCGTTTGTCTACACTGTCCTCTTCACAGTGGAGTCTTTTTATTTCAGACCTACAGATTGTTTTTATATTTGTTGTCACAGTGTGACAATTTTTTGTACAGTCGGTTTTAAGGTCTTCTCTGCCATTAGAGCCAGTAGGTTACAGCTATTGATGTAACTGTAGCTGCAATTTTTGTGCAGGACTGAGAAACACAGTGCATTATTTATTGCGGAATCATTGCTGCTAAATAACTACTGTCTGTTTATTTAACATAACAATTGAATGCCTGAAGAAGTTGCAGTGGCTTTATTATATGTGAATGCATCTGTTTCTCCTCACGAATTGTTTTACTGCTGCATTTTTTGTTTGTTTTTAAAATTAAACTGCAGTGTTTCCTGGAATGTAAATTTAGCTTTGCTTAATAGTAAAATAAGTGAGCCATCTTGAACACTTTAATTTTATACTATATAATTTCTTAATGAACATTGGCAAATAGAGTAGCTAAGAGATTGACAAGCACATTATGTTTAGATAAGCATGTGATGCAGAAGTTGATTCAAGCAAGTGAATCTCTGACACTTTGAGGATCTCACATTAGACACCAACAAATTAAAGCTCCAAAATTATTTATTTTTTACCTGTTCCTCACATTAGAAATGTCTACTGCATATTACTGGATATTCATATACTAATATGCTTACCTATTTTACATTGTGTTTTAAATTTAGTTAAAACTTAACTGTAGAAGTCCATTCAAACACGAAGTCTTGCTTTGTTTGTTTTAAATACATTTATTTTATTAGAAAGGATGATACTTCATTGGGGAACAGTTTCTTTCATTTGGGGGCTATGTGTTTCAATAACATTCACTTGGAATCAGCTGAAAGCTGTAATATGTCTTTGAAATGAGCCATGATAAATTACAAACAAGAGAAATGAGAACTTACAGGATTGCTTGAAATTATTGTCGGTATTATCTGTTTACCAGAGATACTAAATATTAGTTTTAATTATGCATCTCTTCGAACATCATAAACACACTTTGGTGTTGGTAACAGTATTTTAAGCATTTGTGTTCACTTTTAAGGACTATTTGTTTAGTGCATCTTACTATAAATCTTAATTGGTATATTTTGAAATGGTCGTGTAAATTTTTGCCTTATATATCATGAAAATAGTCATAACTTAATTTCTTTTCCTGAATTCACTGTAAAACATTCAGGGGTCCTACCATTTCTGTTCAGGAAATCTTGTAGTTTATTGTTGTTATTTAACAGTATTAAGTGGATTTTTGTATATTTCATTTTAACTTTATTTGTGAATAGTGATTGTGGCATGTTTGGGGTGTTATTTTAATATTTCATGATACTGAAATTTTAATTTTTAAAAAAATTTTCTGGAAGAAACAGATTCATGTGTAATGGTGAATATTGGACCACTACTGCTTTTCACATTTGTAAATTGGTTTTATGTTAAACCTTGTAGCCTAACAAACTGCTGTTCTTTCTAACTGACGGACATGTATTAATATTGTACTTTGAAGGTTATAAATATGTGGAAATTCCTTCATTTTGTTTTGAAATTTATAATAACAAAATCTCCATGTTGTTAGAATGTGGTTTTATTGAGTCGCAGTTCTTTCTTGGGGATGAAGGCTGTGCCAAGTGGGGTCCTTTCCTTTTATGGGTCATTCTCAAGATAGTGAAGTCTCACTGTGCTAGAGGTGTTATTGCTTTCTGTTTGTGCCAATCATTTGCTTAGTAATTTCTACTGGGTTTTTTTTTTTAATAGCACTCTCAATTATAAAGTTTCAAATTTGTCATTTCATAGAATGTATATTTGATTTGTTGCAAATTTGACGTATAGTTTTTCATAGGCTTAATTCTTGCGTATAAAAGGTGAAAATATATGTCCATTTGTTGCATAAAATGTTTCTTCCTAGGAATTCCTAGGGGTATTTCTTCATTTTATTAAGGGATTTGGCAAGCAAACAAGTGTTTGTTTTTTTGTTTTATTTTTGATACTCGAGCACCATTCAGATCCTGAAAACATTGCAGTGAAGGGAATTGAAACTTCGAAACTGGGAACTTTGAATACCTATGATTCCTCTTAAACTGATAAGGTTCTTAAAGGTAAGAGAAGATATGCCTTTTATGTTTTCTTTCCAATTGGTACTGTGAACACACATTGGATGCGTCACTTTAGGTGTATACAGTGGCTGCATTCTGTCTAAGGCTTTATCAACTTTCATTTGAAAGGCTGTTAACATATAATAATCTATCTTTTGGACTCGGGACTATTTATGTGGGTTGTTTTTATCTTTTAAAAATATATATATATATATTATATATATATATATTGTGTATATATATATATATCATAAAATTTGGCATTGTAATTATTTGTATGTGTATAGTTCAGTGGCATAATTATAGCCAGAAAGTTGTATAACAGTTACCACTATCTACTTCTTAAATTTTTCATCACTCCAAACAAATGGTGAACCATTTTACCCTGCCCCAGCCCCTGGTAACTGCTAATCTACTTTCTGTCTCTCTGAATTTGCCCATTCTAGGTATTTCAAATAAGTGGAGTCATACCATATTTGTCCTTTTGTGTCTGGCTTATTTCATTCAGCATAATGTTCACAGTTCATCCATGTTTAGCATGTATCAGGACTTCATTTCTTATCATGACTGAATAATATTCTATTATGATTATACATATTTTGTTTATCAATTTATCTGTTGATGGACACTAGGATATCCCATCTTTTGGCTTTTATGAATAATGCTGTGTGAACATTGGGGTATAAGCATCTGTTTGAGTCCTTGTTTTTAGTTATTTGGGGAGTATATACACCTAGGAGTGGAATTGCTGGGTCATATGATAATTCCGTGTTTGACTGAGGAACTGCCAAAATGTTTTCCACAGTGGCTGTACTGTTTGATATTTGCAGTAGTAATACATGAGGGTTCCAGTTTCTCCTCATCCTTGCCAATTCTTTTTTCCCTCTTTTTTTATTACATTCATTCTAATAGGTTGAAGTGGTATTTCGTTGTAGTTTTTATTTGCATTTACGTAATGATTAGTGATGTGGAACATCTTTTCATACTTTTTTGGCCATTTGTTTATTTGCTTTGGATAAACCTTTATCCAAAGGTTTATTCAAGTACTTTGTCCATTTTAAAAATAGGGTTGCTTGTCTTTTTGTCACTGAGTTGTAAGAGTTCTTTATGTGTTTTGGCTATTACATCTTTATGAGGTATTTTATTTGTAGTTATTTTCTCCTGTTCTTTGGGTTCTCTTTCACTTTCTTTGGTGTCCTTTCGTTGCACAGAAGTTATTTTTTATTTTATTTTTATTTATTTATTTATTTATTTATTGAGACGGAGCCTTGCTCTGTTGCCCACGCTGGAGTGCAGTGGTACAGTCTCAGCTCACTGCAACCTCTGCCTCCTGGGTTCAAGCGATTCTCCTGTCTCAGCCTCCCAAGTAGCTGGGATTATAGGCATGTGCTCCATGCCTGGCTAATTTTTGCATTTTTAGTAGAGACGGGATTTCACCATGTTGGCCAGGCTGGTTTCGAACTCCTGACCTTGTGATTTGCCCACTTGAGCCTCCCAAAGTGCTGGGATTACAGGTGTGAGCCACCATGCCCGGCCAAAAATGTTTAATTTAATGACGTCCATTTTATCTCTTTTTTTGTTGCCTGTGCTTTTTGTGTCATATTTAAGAAAGTATTGTCATGTTTCAGAGGTCGTAAGTCTTTGCTCTTATAATTTCCTTTAAGAGTTTATATTTTTAGCTGTCAGATTTAGAGCCTTGATCCATTTAAATTTTTATATGTGATATAAAGTAAGGGTCCGACTTTATTCTTTTGCATGTGAATATCAATTTTTTTTTCCAGCACCATTTGTTGAAAAGACTGTCCTTTCCCCATTGAATGGTCTTGGTGCCCTTCTCAGAAATCAGTTGACCGTAGATGTGAGGTTTGTTTCTGGGCTGTCAGTTCTGTTCCATTCGTCTATATGTCTGTCCATAAGGGTTTGTAGCACAACATTTTGATTACTGTCTTTAGAACGTTTTAAATCAGAAAATGTGAGTCTTCCAACTTTGTTCTCTTTTTCAAGATTGTTGTAGCTATTCAGAGTCTCTTGAAATTCCATATGAATTTTAAGATGGAATTTTCTATTTCTGCAACAACAACAAAACACCATTGGGATTATGATAGGGATTGCATTAAATTAGAATCTATAGATCACTTTGGGTAGTAGTATAATTGTAATAATATTAAATCTTCCAATCTATGAACACAAGATGTCTTTCCATTTAGTTAGGTCATCTTTAATTTCAGCAACATTTTGTAGTTTTCAGTATACAAGTCTTTTGCCTTAAATTTATTCATAATCTTCTTATTGATGTTATTATAGATGGAGTTGTTTTCTTAATTTCTTTTTGGATATTTTTCATTGCTAGTGTATAGAAATACAAGTAATTTTAGTGTGTTGCTTTTGTATGCCGCTTTGCTAAATTTGATTATTAGCTTTAACAGGCTTTCTGTGGAGTCTTTAGGGTTTTCTACACATAAGATCTTGTTACCTGCAAGGAATGATAGTTTTACTTCCTCCTTTATAATTTGGATGCTGTTTATTTCTTTCTCTTGCCTAATCACTCTGTCTAGGACTTCCAGTACTATGGTGAAGTGATGAAGGAGTATGTCCTTGTCTTGTTTTGACCTTACGGGCAAAGCTTTCAATCTTTCACCACTGAGTATGCTATTAACTGTGTCTTTCTATGTATGGTCTTTAACATGTTAAGGAAGTTCCTTTCTATTCCTAGTTGATTGAGTATTTTTATCTTGAGAATATTGGGTTTTCTTCAAATGCTTTTTCTCCATCAATTAAGATGATTTGTTTTCTATATTCTATTGATGTATATTACATTGATTTTCGTATGTTAAACCACTCTTGCATTCCTTGGGTAAATCCCACTTGATTATGGTATGTAATTCTAATACGCTGCTGAATTGAGTTTGCTAATTTTTTTGAGTATTTTTGCCTGTATTCATAAGGTTTTTGGCCTGTAGTTATTCTTTTCTTACAGTGTTTTTGTCTGGATTTGGTATCAGGGTAATGCTGGCTTAATAGAAAGAGTTAGGAAGTGTTCTCTCCTCTTTAGTTTTTTGGAATAGTTTGAGGATTGGTGTTAATTCTTCCTGAAATGTTTGGTAGAATTCAGCAGTGAGGTGACCTGGTCCTGGCTTTTCTTTTTTCAGAGGTTTTGATTAATGATACAGTCTCCTTGTTATGTATAATTTTATTCAGATTTTTTATTTCTTGTCAGTTTTGGTAGTTTGTGTGTTTCTAGGAATTTGTCCATTTAATCTGTTATATCCAGTTTGCTGGCATAAACTTTTTCATAGTAGTCTCTTATCCTTTTTATTTCTGTTATTGATCTCTAATTTCATTCCATTATGGTTACAGAAGATAGTATGCATGATGTCAGTTTTTAAAAATTTATTAAGACTTGTTTTGTGGCCTAACATATGGTCTGTTCTGGAGAATGCTTCATGTATATTTGAGAAAGTATGTCTCATTCTACGGAAAATGTTGTTGGGTAGAGTGTTTGGTGTGTGTCTGTTGGGGCTAATTGGTTTATAGTGTTCAGTTCCTCTCTTTCTTTACTGATCTGACTCTTTTGTACATTATTGAAATGGGAATATTGACATGTCCAACTGTTATTGCAGAATTGTCATATTTCTCCTTTCAATTCTGTGAGTGCATGCTTCATATATCTGGGGGCCCTGTTACTGGGTGCATATGTGTTTATAATTGTTACCTATCTTCTTGATGGATTGAACCTTTTAGCAATATATAATGTCCTTTGTCTCCTGTAACTTTTTTTTGATACTTTAGTCTATTTTATCTGACAAAAATAGGGCCGCCCCATATCACTTTTGGTTACTGTTTGTATGGAATATTTTTTCCATTCTTTTATTTTCAGCCTCTTCAAAGTAAAAATACAGTGTCTGTGTTTTTAAAGTGAGTCTCTTATAGATAGCATATTGACAAATCATTTTTTAAATCCATCCTGCCCATCTCTGCCCATTAATTGGAGACTTTACAACATTTACATTTAAAATAATTACTGATAAGGAAGGACTTCTGCCATTTAGCTGTTTTCTGTATGTCTTATGTGCTTTTTGTTCTTCAGTTCCTCCATACTGCCTTGTATTTAGTTTTTTTTTTTTTTTTTTTGGTAATGTACCATTTTTATTTTCTTCTTCTTTCTTTGCCTATATAGTTTTAGTTATTTTCAATTCATATCATTTAAAAATATTTATCCCCAAATGTAATCCCTCCGAGTTTATTATTTATAATGTCAGTGATTTTATTTTTAAAATATTCTAATGTAGATTCTTACATTGATTCTTTTTGATTGACAAGTTCATCCATATCAGAATTTTAAGTGTTAACACAAGCCCTTAAGCAATGCTACTGAAGAATTTGCATACTTTTGTGTGCTCCAAACTTGAAATTTCCAAAGTTTTTAATGCATTACTTTAGACCCAAGAGAAAGGTACAACATTTTTCCCTCTTGTTCAGTGCAAA